AAAAAAAAAAAAAAAAAAAAAGAAGTCTGAGATCAAGGTGTCAGCAGGGTTGATTTTTTCAGAGGCCTCTTTTGTCCGTCTTCTTCCTGTGGTCACATGGTCTTTCTTTGTCCATGTTTCCATGTCTTAATTTCCTTTTCTTATTAGGACACCTATCACAGCAGTTAGGATTAGAGCCCATGTTACTGACCTTAGTTTAATTTAATCACATCTTTAAAGACCCATTTCCATATACAGTCTCATTCACAGACACTGGGAATGAGGGGGATGTATGAATTTTAGGGGGACAAAATTCAGATACTGGCAGAAGAGCAGTATCTATGAACCTTCCATGATTATACATAAGACTTTGAATGTATACATTAATTTTGGGAGTGGGGAAGTATATTAGATAGGATTAATTTCCTTAGGCTGGCCTTCTTTCCTTCCTTCCTTCCCTCCCTTCCTTTCCTTCTTTCTTTCCCCTCCCTCTCTTCCTTCCTTTTTCCTTCCTTTTCTTTCATCTTACTCTGTCACAGCTCACGTGTCATCACAGCTCACAGCAACCTCAAACTCTTGGACTCAAGTAATCCTCATGTCTCATCTTCCCGAGTAGCTCAGACTACAGGCGCCTGCCACAACACCCAGCTAATTTTTCTATTTTAGTACAGATAGGGTCTTGTTCATACTTAGGCTGGACTTAAACTCCTGAGCTCAAGCGATCCACCAGCCTTGGCCTACCAGAGTTCTAGGATTACAAATGTGAGCCACCATGACTATTTTTAGGGCAATTCTAGATTTATGAAAACATTGGAAAGATAATACAGAGAATTCCGGTATCACTCTGACTCCTACATATCATTTCCCCTATTGTGGTATATAACTCTTTTTAACATCTTGCATTAGCATGGTACATTTAGTATAATGAATGAAACAATGTTTACATATTACTTTTAATTAAAGTCCATGGTTTATTCTATTTCTTTATTTTTTAAATTTCTTTAGTTTTTATGCAAATGTCCTTTTTCTGGTCTAGGAACTCATCTAGAATATCACATTACATTTAACTATCATGTGTCCTTGTGCTTTTTTTGGCTGCTACAATTTTTCAGGTTTTCTTTGTTTTTGATGTCCTTGACAGTTTTGAGGAATACCAGTCAGATCTATTGTAGTATGCCCATCTATTGGAATTTACTCGTTTTTGTTTTGTTTTGTTTTGTTTTTTCATAATTAGACTGGGACTATAGGTTTTGGAAGGAGTTCTAGGATGCTTTTTTTTTTTTTTTTGAGGCAGAGTTTCACTTTGTTGCCCTCAGTAGAATGCCATGGTGTCACAGCTCACTGCAACCTCAAACTCTTGGGCTCAAGTGATTTTCTTGCCTCAGCCTCCTGAGTAGCTGGGACTATAGGCACCCACCACAACACCCGGCTATTTTTAGAGACAGGTCATGCTCTAGTTCAGGCTGGTCTCCAGCCCGTGAGCTCAGGCAATCCACCTGCCTCAGCCTTCCAGAGTGCTGGGATTACAGGGGTTGAGTTACCTCTTGTAATGTCTTTATGTAGCTTTAGGATAACACTGGGTTCATAGAATGAGGCAGAATGTGTTCCCTCTGCTTCTACTTTCTGGAAGATATCGTAAAAAATTGGTATCATTTCTTCCTTACATATTTGGTAGAATTCACTAGTGAAAGAATTAGAGCTGGTGCTTACTATTTTCTTTTTTTTGAGACAGAGCCTCAAACTATTTCCTTGGGTAGAGGGCTGTGGCATCACAGCTCACAGCAACCTCCAACTCCTGGGCTCAAGCGAGTCTCCTGCCTCTGCCTCCCAAGTAGCTGGGACCACAGGCGCCCGCCACAACGCCCGGCTATTTTTTGGTTGGAGCCGTCATTGTTTGGCCGGCCCGGGTTGGATTAGAACTCGCCACCTTAGGTGTATGTGGTTGGCACCTTAGCCACTTGAGTCACAGGTGATGAGCCAGTGTGCTTACTATTTTTGAAGGTGATTTCTTTTTCTTTTTTTTTTTTTTTTGCAGTTTTTGGCCAGGGCTGGGTTTGAACCTGCATGGGGCCGGCACCCTACTCCTTTGAGCCACAGGCACCGCCTGAATTCTTTTTTTTTTTTTTTTAAATTAGTTATTGATTGAATTTCTTTAGTAGATACAGGCCTATCCAAATTATCTATTTCTTCTTCTGTGAGTTTTGGTAGTTTGTGTCTTTCAAGGAATTGGTCAATTTTATTTAAATTATTAAACTTGTAGGCATGGAGTTGTTGATAGTATTCTTTCATTATCCTTTTAACATTCACAGAATCACTAGTGATCTCACTTTTATTTCTGATATTAATAATAAGTCTTCTCTCTTTTTTCCTTGGTTAGCCTACGTAGGAGCTTGTAAATCATATTGATATTTCAAGGAGCCAGCATTTGGTTTCCTTGGTTTTCTCTATTGATTTCCTATTCAATTTCATCGATTTCTGGTCTCATTTTTGTTATTTTGTTTCTTCTATTTGCTTTAGGCTTACATTTTTATTCTTTCTCTAGCTTCCTAAGGTAGAAGCTTATTAAGATTGTTCACTTCAGCTCATAATTCCTCTTACATGTTTTCTCTTTTCTCATATAACATATTTTTCTGTGTATAAAATAGTCTCATGTATATTGTGCACTCACATTTTTGGCCCAAACTTTCAGGAGAAAAAACATCTTTCATTTTAATTTTTAAATTCAAATTCAAGTCTTAACGCTCTTGGTGTACAAAAACTGTTTTGATATTTTCTAAGGGATTTTTCCAATAATTCTTTTTTTTTTATTTCTTATAGCATAACTGTGTACATTAATGCAATCATGGGGTACAGCGTGCTGTTTTCATATACATTTTGAAATACTCCCATCAAACTGGTTAACATAACCTTCATGTCATTTTCTTAGTTATTGAGTTAAGACATTCATACTCTGCTTTTAGAAAGATTCACTTGTACCCTTGTAAGATAAACCATAGAGGTGACCTCACCAATCACCCTCCCTCCTCCCATCTGCCATCTCCCCTCTCCCACCCCCTTTTTCCAATAATTCTTATAAAAATATTAGCTACATTGCTAGCTCCTGCCTAAAGTGTACAAAGAGAAATATGTTGTTCTTCACTGACGAAAAATGCCTTTATTGCAAGTTCATCGTTAGTTCAACAAAACCTATTACCATATTCCAGGGTATTATTTTTCATACAGATATCATTATAGCTTCCTAGAGTTATACTTTTAATACATAAGCATAAATAAAAGCATTAAAAGCATGTATATGGATACAGAATTAGCACTACCTATACACACATCCGTGTTTTTCCCTCAAGAATTTGGGTGAAAAGTGCACATTATCCATGGCAAAGTATGGTAATGTTTTCAATAAAACTACCCCCTAAACATTGCTTTTGCTGCATTCCATAAAGTTTGATAAGTTGTATTTTAATTACATTTCATTCAAACTATCTAAAAATTTCACTTGAGGCCCCCTTTTTAACCCATTTATTATTTAGATGTGTATAGTTTATTTTCCAGGTAATTGGGAATTTTCCAGCTATCTTTCTGCTTATTGAAATCTAGTTTGATTTCTTTTTGGTGTGAGAACATACTTTGCCATGATTTCTGTTCTTTTAAATGTGCTAAGATGTATGTTATGACCCAGAATGCAATCTGTCTTGGTGAATGTTCCGTGTGAGCTTGAAAAGAATGTGTATTCTGTCAAGGAGATACAGTTGACTGGTAATGCTATTCAATTTGGCAATCTTCTCACTGCTTCTCTGCCTACTGGATCTATCAATTAATGAAAGAGAGGTTGAAGTCTCTAACTATAATAATGGATTTGTCTAAGTAGTTCTGTTAGTTTTGCATCATGTATTTTGACAGTCTATTTTTAGATGTGTACACATTAAAGCCTATTATGTTTTCATGGAGAATTAAACTCT